GCATACTATGAATTTTTTTACTGATAGATGTTTCACTTTTATCTTCATCTAAATATCCTGCTATGTTGTAAGTCATTTTCACTTAGTTTCATTCAAAGTTCTACTTTATTTAAATGTATATTTATTCGCTCCACTTAGGTGTTATTCATAATTCTTCTTAAATACTATTTATACATTTATTACTGTACTATTTATACCTTCACTTAATTCTATTTAATGGTTAATATAAGCTTCACATTTCTTTAACTTATATATAAAGTTACAAATTTGTATGATTTGGACATAATAAAATAAGAAGCTCTCACTATTAAAATTTTTTTATCTTGTTACTTTACCTTTCTTTTTATTTTATAATAAAGCATTGAAATGACCATATACTCATTTTATTTATATTTACCTATTCATATAATTAATTCTCAATTAAGTCTGCAAATAATTTTAATTAAGAGGATTTTTTATATAACATATGAGTTAAGACAACTGAAATTATTTCACAATAATATGTACATTAAAATAAAAATTAAATACAATTAGTATTCATATGTTAAAAGTAGTATATAGGAACATTAGTTAAGTTACGTGTGTAGAATTAGTTGAGAATTACTTATATTGTTCGTAATTTAAGATTTTTAATTTTTGTTGGGTTTGTGGTTCTCCACTTGTACATGTTGCATGCCCATGGTAGGCTGGTAGCTATAGCCCAAAACCTAATGTTGGAAATTTGAAGGAGTTTGTTTTAACGCTTTGAAAACGATTATTACTTATTGTTGCCTAAAATTAAATCAGATTGATTAGAGTGTATATTATAAACAATAATTATTATTAAATATTAAATATTAATTATCAATTATATTTAAAACAACTAATTATCAAAATGCCTCCACCAAATTGCATTGCAACAAAGCCTTTGTTTAGGGGTTATGCTTCTACTAATATTATAATTATAATATCAAAAAAGATAATTATAAAATATTATTAAATAAATATAATATTTTATTAAATAAATAATTATATGTGATATTATAAATAAAATTTTAAATAAAAAATTAATTATATAAAAACAGATATTATAAATTTACAGTACTACCTAACAATATAACTGTATTATTTCCAAACTATCTCTTTTATGTGTCATAAATGCATCTTAATTCTTAGGCTTTAGATTAGGAGGTTAACGTACTGCTGCATTGAATAGTGTGTGAGATGAAAAAGCCATGATGCGTGTCAATATGGAGATGCCTATAATACAATACATACAGCCACTATGATAGAGACACTCTAGCTACCCAGAGATTGCGCTCTGGATTCCCTTCTCCATCCCAACTTGCAAGTGGTCCTCTCTTAATCAATAATAAAAGTAAAGCGAAAGGCGCATCGTTGTATATGGGATCTTATTTCATTCACAATGAATTCCCTTTACCAACCAAAGCGATTGTTGATGGAAAGTGCTTGGTTGAAAAGGAAACAAAATAAGTGGTTCTAGAAAGCTCATAAAGCCTGCAAAGCTGCAAATTTCATGCATGATTTTGCTAAAAACTAATATATATAAACCCATTCTGATTCTGCTTCTTGACATGAATGTGTGATAATGGGATCACATGAATAGGAGAATAGGACGAACCCGCTTTCATAACTTAGTGGTTCCTCCGTACTTTTGTGTTTCCTTTGGTTATGAGTTTTATTTCCACAAAGAACTTTGAAAGGAAACAAAAATACAAATAGGAAAATTGAACAAGAAAGCTTTGCTAAATAAACATTTTGAAAAATCATATGTACAAGTCAAAGACTCGAAAGGTTAGGTTACTATGATACAAAATGAATTGATTAAGGTGAAAATGAAATTGAGATTTACCAAAAAAAAAAAATAAAGAAATTGAGAAAAGAAGGTGGTTGTCATGAGCAGTACAACAGTAATTATATATCTAATAGAAATGAATTTTTTTTATAAGTACAATAATTAGTAAATTAGTTTTTATTAATTGTTAACAACTGAAAATTCAATTCTTAAATCTGATGAATATTTCACCTTCCTCAATGAAAGTGCATGGAGCCGCTGGAGTTTTAATATAAATGAATTCTTTAATAAATGTAAATGTGATTTTATTCTTGTGATTTTAATTTTATAATTTAATATAATTTAAATAATAAAATAAAAAGTGAAAATTTATTTTTCGAGTAAAACCTGTAAAAGATATGAATTATGGTTTGAGGAGACCAGATTGAGATGGGATACGTACGCTTGATGAAACAAGACGAGCATTGAGTAGCAGCGATTTTGGGGTCAGAAGCAGAATCGAATGGTACAATTCTACTGCTTGGTGCTTGCCCCGATTTTCCAAGGGAACATGGTGGATATAGTTGATACTACATATGTGCTATATGCTGGGCTTCGGGGCATGGTTATATAAAAAATTTATGTGTTTGATTGAATTGACAAGAGTATTAATAACTGTATTTGTTAATTGATGATTTATAGAGTAATTAATATTTATTATTTAACAATTTAAAATCAATTTATATAATTAACAATTTTAAACATTCTAATAATTTTTTATTTTAATATTTTTTAAATTAATAAAATTAATTAAGCTAAACAAATTTATAATATATTTATGTGGTTTTAACAAATGCTTTTGTTGAAACCCTAATAAGGTGGATCAACGATTAATAATTTGATATTTTAAATTGAAAATTTTAAGTTTAAAAACTTTGAATTGGATGAGAAATAATTTAAAAATAAGAAAGAGTTTTATTTTCTTGTATAATTTATTATTAAATGGCAAAAAAAAAAAAAAATGCTCTTGTTGGTGATGATGGAGCAGCATAAGCAGCACCCACAGCAGCAGCTAAAACTGATGAGTGGAAGAAAGTATGGACCCAAAGCAATCTCCACTTAATGAGTTTCCATCAATGGGCAAACGAATGCTCTTGTGGCCTTGACCATTGCCGTGCTATATAGGTTGCGTGTGGAGTCCTGTCATACTTCCTCACGGAAAAGTGAATGGGGTATCATCAGCCAGAGTCCGAGACAGGTTCTGTGAAACATAATTTTCAGCCCAGCAGCTATTACCTCATTCAATTCTCAACTCTTTTTTTAAACACGAAAATAATATTGTTTGGTTGAAAAGAAATTTTATAAAAAAAATTTATTGAAAAAGATTTTAGAAATTATTTTATAAAAAATTTAAAATTATTTTGTGAAAAGCTAAAAATTAATGTATAAAAAATTAATAATTTTGTAATAAAATTTTATTTGATCGTTAATTTTTTTTATATTTAGTAAAAAATTATTATTAAAAAAATTGTAAAATAGTTATTAAGTTCTATATTAAAAAAAGTTGAAGAAAAAGTTTTTCTCTCAAGAAAACATGAAAATAATAGACTATTTATTAAGAATAGTACCCAAAATAATAAATATTAAAAATATCAATTTTGCTCTATATTTGTTACAATTATAAGCTAAAATTGATGTTGTAAACATAAGACTTTCGACAAATGAAAATGAAAATGAAAATGATAACCTCCCACTGTACAAATCCAAAATCAAAATATTTTTCAGGATAGGGTTGAAGTTTTAAATTAAATTAAGGAAGGTTTTAAACAAATTTTTTTCACTTTTTGAGATAATTTTTTTATCATCTTTTGAGATAATTTTTTTATCATCTTTTGAGATGACCTAATGTGTTATTTAAATAATTTATTCTTTCTATTCATATAAGATTCGTAATATTAAAAGTATCAATTCATTTAATAATAAATAAAAATTATATTAAAAATAATATTAAAAAATTACTCTTATAGTACCACCCTTAAATTCAATAACCAAAGCAGATATTTTGGAAATAACTTGTGAATGGATTAAGGTTCTAATGTTTCACTTAACCATGTTGGCTTCGAGTAAGAAAAATAACAAAACTTTTTTTTTAATGAAAATTACATGACCATTAGTAAGAGAAAATGAAAAACAAGGCCTTACTTACATGACCGTCACTAATCCTACCCAGTACTACCAGAATCTCAACAATTAGTCTAGAACCAGAATAAGTAGCTAAGGAGAAATCCTGAAAACCCCCTAAGATCTATTATTAGGTACTATAGGTCTATAAACCAAAATGAAGCCATTCCAATTAGCCCTAAAATCCCAAATCACCATAATAACTATACGTCTTAATAAAATAATGATCGGAGCTATAAGAACAACTTTATTATATTATTTTTTGATATAACTTGCATATATTATTAAATAAATAAATAAATTTAATATTACTAGATTTACATAAATAAAATAAATCGATTATATAAATGACACGTTAATTTGTATAGAAAAATAAAACAAAAAAATTATTTCAAAATCATTTTCCTAAAATAATAAAGTAAAATAGATCATTAGAATAAAGCCCAATACTCCTTCCTACCATTACTCCTTCCTACCACTCGTCCTTGTTCAAAGGAAACAAATCGACATTAGACATGCTCCCCCCTACTTTTCCTCCGTTAATTATCATGCCCTCCATAATCCAAAAGATCCTTCTGTTACCCAAACCGTATAACTCCGGATTCTTTGCCAAGATAGAAGGGGAGAAATCGGTGATTGAAGCCGCTGTTCTGCTCGTCAATCACGGCAAATCCGATGACCCCTTGCCGCCACACAAACGCCAGCCAACGTCCAACCTGAGACACAGGTCCACCGCCCTAAACAAAGTTTGATAATGGTTTCCATTTTGATATATAGACATTTTTCTGTAGTTTTTAGACTAATTTACTAATGAGAATCATCTTTCCTTGTGCCCTCTCCGAATGAAGGCCTTAAAATTAAAGAAAAAGTTCAAGCAAGCTTGCTGAGGCACATTGGATGTGAATGCAGTCAATCAATCAGGAACAAAGCGGAATATTATCGGTCAAAGTTTAAAGGTACGTTAAAAGAAATACAATTCCAAATGAACAAATGTTTACCGCCAGAGAAAAGAAATTGAACAAGCTAGTGACTGCATAAATAGAGGCCAAGGAACTGGGATATTACCTTATTATAGATAGTTGATAGATGGTGACAATTCAAATGAAATACAAACAGTGTGTTAATGCTAGCTAGAAATCCCGGATAAAAATATACATGCAAAAGGTAAAAGTAGCATTACGGTCTTACAGTCCAGATGACACTATATAAGTAGACATCTAAGATTCTATCTTAACACGCGCATCTAAGATTCTATCTTAACACGCGCATCAAATTGGAAGCCCTGTGAAAGAAAAAAATGAAAAATCATAAGGTTAGAATTGCTAAAAAGAAGGAATTGAATGGAAACATAAATGTAGACTGTAGAAAATTCATCCCATGACGAGTAAGTTCACTATCACATGCCTTAGCTTACAGTGCCAGAATCTATAAAATCCATTAATCCTGGTTTTTTCATATATATTTCTCATAATCTGTCATAGGGAGATGGGAGTTTGGTTGGCAGAGCTATTTCTTGAAGTCGTTTATAGTCACTTTTTTCTCTCTTAAGTCTGAAAATTTTTTGGAGGAAAAAGTTGCTTGTTAGCATTTTTAGCATTTAAAGTGCTTTTATAAGCAAGTTTTAAAGAAAGCAAGTGAACCTGCCTTTATAAAACTTGCTTATAAGCAATTTAAATACTAAAAAGTAGTACTTCCCTCCGATACTTTCTAAAACTTGTGAGAAAGAAGTGCTTAGAAGCAAGTTGAAGAATAAGCTCTGCCTCTAAGTTTAGAGCAGGGGACCAACTAATCCTCACTGTTCAGAAGAATCTGATTTCAACACAAGCAAATTAATTCAAGCTCAATTCAATCTGGATTCCTTGTGATTATGTTCTCTACTTCTTTATAAATAGATCTTCTTTCTGTAGCCAGGCCAGAAATGGCAAACCTGTCCAGCCCACAGTTCCAGAAATCAGATCAACATTCAGTGTTGGCTTTAAGGTCTGAACTATCTATTTCTAAAAATCTCAGAGTAGTGTTAAAATTACAAATCAATTAATAGATTGAAGTATTAAGAAATTAATAGCTCAAATATGTCAAAATTTGAGTGCCCAGATCAGGTAATTTGCAGGTCTCCTCTTTCATCTAGCCTGTGGGCAATGCATCAACAATTTTTGTTACTACTATAGTAGATAAGATTGCTGAGATTTCTATATGGTAGACAGTACATTACAAAAATGACCCCAGATCATAAGAGAGTTGGAACATAGTGGGATGCTGTCCCCTCTAGAGTGGGGAACCACTACCACTAATGACGGGATCTGCTGGCGCCTTGCTGGTAACCAAACCTAAGCACAATTCTACCCCTCTCATACCACCCACCTCTCCATCCCCAACTAACACCACACCTAAGAATCCAATGTCCCCATCTTTGCAAAAATCCCACAAATCCCCAAATCAAAGCCCTACCTCACCAACCTAAATCCAAATCCTACCACCACTCATCACTGTCCTTCCACCACTGATTCACTCTTTAATCCATTAACCACTTTCTGATTCACATCTAACTCCCATGCATCCAAAAGCACCCAAAATCCTAAACCCTAGATCCCTTTTAAATTGACTTCCCTATTTTGCATTTCTGGTGAAGGACACAACCTTCATTTTGGGCACAGCATCAAGTTTCATTACTCTTTGGGTGTTAGTATCTCAATGTGCAACAACCTAGATGATCCATGACAAACTTGATGCTGCTTGGCCAAGGGCCCCCTTGGCCTCTATGGTTTTGTTTATCTATGACCTTCAAATTTATTCTACAGACAAACAAATTAAAGTACTCCCCCCATCTCAAACTATCTGTCACTATAACTAACTTCCACATAACATAACCTTGGTAATGCTTTTATATAACATATGAATGATAATTGAAAATTTTTTTGTCTCAATATTTGGTTCTTTTTTAATAGCATTTGATCAAAAAAATATTTCCAATTACTATTCATATGCTATGTAAAAGCATTGCCTAAAGTTAAGTGCAAGTTAGTTATAGTAATAGATAATTTGAGATGGAGGGAGTACTACAATTTGAAAATAATAAGAGACAATCTGAATTATCCACAGGGTTAGTAGCATAATCCAGATTAAAAATGCAGTTATTATACCAGAGATGCACAATTTGTCTCCCAATTAAGTGATTAACTATTAACACCTTAAATAATAAATTAATCTAAGTGAAGACCAAAAGAATGATTATGTCGGTACAACAGACAACCAGATTGATATAACCTATACACATTACACAATAAAAGGGCTGCATATCCTACTACCAAAATTGGAAAGGAATGAGCATATAAGGCAGCTGAATACACACAATTTCGAGTTGGAGCTAAACAAGAAACCATGTGTCTTTGCACCATAGGACTAGGAGTGCCTGGAGTACTGGCCAATCCTCGTGGTCATGGGTCAACAAATTTGGTAATTCATCATAACGTAGATTAGCTTTTACGTTAAATTATCTATTCAAGCTCATAATTAAACAAAACTTCAAGCTTACTTCAAAACTACCCATTTGATTTGCAAATTAAAATCGATTACTCAACGTAATTATAAACAGGTAGAAAAACCCAATAACGCAACAGTAATGTGTAACCCATAAGAAACAAATATATAGTTGATCAACTTTTGAACACTTTTCAATGAAGTAATCAAAAGATTCATAACATTCCAACAATCTCATCATCATCGTACATCGCTTTCAAAAAGAAGCGATCAAATCAAGGGAAACAACAATACAATTGGAACTAACACCTTTAACCCAAAACAAATTGAAATTAAAGGAAAGATTAGATTTTTGAGGGAGAGACTCGAACCTCTTTAAGATGCTGCGTGCTTCCCTTCACACAGAGGACTTTCGTCGAAATTATTCGCCGGATACTTGGCAGTCACCATCCCAACTTCGAAAACCAAATCATCGCCGCTGGACCTTATCCCCGAAATAGACCACCACTTGAAGAAGGCCCAGACTCGAATCCCGTCGAGCTCCGCGATACGACCTTGGTCAATCTTGCCGGTGATCTTCTTAGAATAGGTGGCCAGGTAGTTGTCTGGCGGAAGCGTGATCTTGCACGAACCGCCAATATCGACGGCGAAGTCACCGGAGGTCTGGTTCAAGGTATAGCTCCGGACGGAGGACGGAAGGAGTCCGATCGGAAAACCATAATTCGTGAGCTCCGCGTGCGCCGCTGTTGGTGGCTGGGTGTTTTTAGGGTTTTCAGCACGGGAAGAGAAGGGAATCGTGCATAGAGATAGAAGAAAAGTGAGAAGAAAGACAGATCGTTCCATTTTTCCGAATTTTAGAGGTTTTTCTTTTCTTTCTTTTTTTTTTTTCTCTGATATTTTCGTGTTCTGATTTTCTCGAGGAAGAAGAAGAAAGAACATGCCGATTCAATTAGGACGACTATTCACCGTGTGGAAACTGGAAAGTTAAGAGCTGAAAACGACACGTTTCGGAAGAAAGCATTAAACGGACCTTTACTCGGCCCAATTAGTTTTGGGTATGGTATCGTTGCAAGCATTTGGGGATGGAAGCCCATTTGATTTGAGGATGGAAGCCCATTTATCCGAAAATAAAATCTAAATCAATCAATCCATGGCAAAAGAAGAGAGAGAGAAAAAAAAAA